TGTTGGAAAACCTGGTCTCCAAAACCTACATATAAATTGTCAATCACAAACTCAAGCATCATTTTAGTTGAAGAATATTAACTTCAGAGTACTAGTGTGTACAATCAGAATGTTGTTTAAGTAAATAATGTTACAAATGACAAATGACAAGGTAAGTAAATTAACGAGTTTCATTTTTATTTTTATGATGTCAAAAAGCCTGGACTTTAATTCATTGTGGGGAATAGTTGTATAAAGAGTTTAAAAGTCGTAAGTTTTTGTGTTATTGATTTTAGTAAAAGTTTGTGATTTCAAATTTTCTAATAATCACTAAATTCCTAAAGCAGCTGTTTCCATGGTCACAATAAAATGCAGCAGTTAATCCCGATTTTTTTTAACTATCTGTGTTACAAGGCCTTGACGATGTTTATTTAAAGTCTTGAATTTCAATGTTCTTCCTTAAGATTAGTGGCATTAACCAAAACTTAACAACACATTTTGTTTTGCTACATTCAATCATAAAATTTATTTTTAGTCTAGTAGTGCAAAACCTTATTTCCTAAGGTCAATTATTTTAAATATTATACTTTCATGTATATTACTTGAATTTGATTAGCCAAAAAAAAAAAAAAAAAAAAAAAAAAAGAAAAAGAAAAGTTAAAAACACTGTTACCCTCCTAATGATGAAACCACGGCCTTCAGTGCGATAGTACTTTGCAACAGTCGATCAGTATTTCTCGATGACGGGTGATATTAAAGAAATGACTGCACGAAAACTGCGCACTTAACCTTTCTTCGTATATGTATAAAAATTCGGAATAATACTATAATTAATGCATGTAGTTTAGGATAACATTGTCACAAGTATTTTGAAATTCAGTGTTATTTCATAAATTTTGAATATTAGTTTATTGTATAGAATTTTTATCCATTTAAGAAAGTAATCACCAAAATTATTTTTTTCTAAAGAACTTGTAAAAGAAACAGTTTAAGATGTTGAACAGTGACCTCTAAAAACATCAGAGATGGGATCAGGTGCCATGGAGGAGTGAACATCCCCTGCCGACCGGTCTCACCGGCCGTGTGCTTCTTGTCATGATCGGGAAAAACGGAAAAGCCCGTAGACATATCAGCGTATAAGTAATGATCTAACAATTAGTGTGAAAATCGTCAGTCAGCATTTGACCTAATGATAGATTGTATTTGCTGATAAGGTCATTGTATCGACCATAAATCTTGCGAAATGATGACCTCGATCAAACGAGACTGTTGATTTTCTGGAATCAACTGGGAGACAAAATCCCCATATGCAGTTGGTTAGGGTATATTGCTACATAAGTAAGGAAAGTTGACTATTGAAAAATTGAAGTCATCACATTTATCAACAAGCTTCATTGTTAGGTTACCAATTATGTCATTTTCTAGTAAAATATCCAGATAAGAAACAGATGTGTCAGACTCTGTGGTATCTTTTTTTAAGCTCACTGGGATATATCGGGTTGACATATGAATGGAAGTAACTATTGTTAATTGATAATGCGTCGTCGATATATCAATATGTCGAGTTGAAGGCCACAGCATGTGTTTTCTTCTTCTCATACAGTACCCGCATCGTTATTCTTTACAGGATAAACGATACGATAGGATACACGCACGATACGATAGGATAAACGCACGATAGGACCGGATACACGCACGATAGGATAAACGCAAAACACGATAAACGCAAAACACGATAAACGCAAAATACGATAAACGCAAAACACGATAGACCTGATAAACGATCTTCACGATAGGATAAACGCAAAACCTGATAGGATTGTTTCAAAATGCGAAACGTATTTTGACAAGACGAATTGTTTTCTTTTAGATACACTGTAGTATGACGATTTTAATCACTTACAAAGCCGCAAATCTAAATGCTTAAGTATATTAAATGTATTATGATTAAATATTTGAGTTAACTATGCTTTATACAAGAAACATGTTTATTTTTGTCAATAATGGATCGTCACCAAATTCAAACTGTAATTATTTTAGATAAATTGCACTCTATCGTGGAAATTATGCGATTGTTTGTATAATTATTCAAATGTCGAAATTCCCTCGAATCGTTAAACTTGAATTTTAGTCGTTTAATAACAGAGATTTCAATGATGGTGGCTCAATAATTCCGTAGACAATCGAAGTTTGCAATAATTCATGAAACGCTATAAATACATGTATATTCAGTATTTTAACAAATAAAACCTTATAAATTTATTATCAAATATTGAGTATATATCCGAAAGAACACTTCGTAATAAATGAAATATTTGGATTCAATATCTTCTGCTAGAAGTCTGTGATGTATCCAAAATCGCATTAATTTTAATAATCGGTATTTAATAATTCAGATCTTACGAAAATAATTTACTTGTCAGTTTAAGGGAAAAAATATTTTTAAAAAATTATTACATTCTAAAGTTAACGCTGTCTCCTCAAAGGTTATGAATTCGCTTTAATTTATATTATTTTTTTTTTTTACGTTTTGTACACATTACTTGCTGGAATATTGCTTTGACACAGGCTGTGCACTGGACTGTGATTATATAATCTTTCCTATATAAATATACATGTATATGTCACAAATATATATCCGGTAAACATAGAAAATTAATCATTTACATATTCAAAGAACATACATTGTATATGTATATATGAAGAAGGATAACGGCCGAAAGAAATCGAAATTAACAAAATTAATAAATGTCACTAGATCATCTAGTATCCGAAAAGAATATCGCATTCCCATTCTTTTGTATTTCCAATGTCATAGGCCTGTATAGGACCCAGAAGGGAGAACGCAGTCGTGTACCTAAAAATGTTACAATGTACCAACATGTGTAGTATAGACTAAAAATGTAATGCTTATATAATATCGCCCATCAACAATAATGTCTTTAGCCTCATTTGTTTGCTTGTTAAAACATTTCGTTTTAGAACCCCCCCCCCGCCCCTAAAGAAATGAAAATGCTTTCTACACGAGCCTCGCCCACATGCTTTTCCGCGAATTTATTTTTGTAACCTGTCTGCTTTTCCGCGACTACCCCATACTGCTTTTCCGCGATTGAATTTTACTATAAGTTGTATGTTTTCTCCTTTTTTCGATACTTCCTTTCCGCGATTTTTAAATTGTCACAGTAAGTACTTTACATCAAACTGTTGCCGATATTTACCCGGATTATCATGTATCTCCCTATAAAGTTCTACTCGGTAGTACCACACTGTGATAAAAATTGAATGAATCACATATTACACTGGTCGGTGATGTTTTAGATGCCATGGAAATTGTTCATAACGAACCAAATCGTGGTAACAAATATATTACAAACAATGGATTTACGTATAGAAAGGTCAATGTTTTGAATAATGACGATGTGTCTTACCGATAAAGATGAAATATGCAAAGCCACAATTACAACCGATGCAAAAAATTGCCGAGATAGAAACAAAAAGAATACTGACAACAATCTCAGTAAAGACCAAAAAAAAAAAAAAAAAAAAAAAGATTGACTGAGGCCGGTTGATACATGTAGCAGGGTGAAAGAGTTTTTACCTGACTAACGGAAGGGATTAGTGCTAAAATAAATCGCAGAAAAGCAAAAAATATAATCGCGGGAAAGCAGTATAATTTGTCGCGGAAAAGCAGGATTCTTTTCGCGGAAAAGCTGGTTATAAATAATCACATTAACAAAATTTATATCTACCATACATGTAGCTACGTGTATGCTAAGCTTATTCACATAAATAAACAAGCATTCTGAGAGTATTGCATTAGCAATACAAGTCCCCTACCGGCAAGTGTAATCTGGTTCCCGTTAAGAATTGAAAATGCCATAATTCCGTCAAAAATTAATGAAGCTGGACGAAATGCAAACTTGATCTATAACTAATCAAGGTAAAGCCACATACCAAAAATCAGCTCAATATCTACAAGTGTTTAGAAGAAAATCGCGGAAAACCCGTAAAAATTGAAAAGGCCGTAATTCCATCAAAAATCAATGAAGCGGAACGAAATGCAAACTTGATCTGTAACTCATCAAGATACACTCACATACCAAAAATCAGCTCAATATCTGCAAGCGTTTAGGAATAAAGTGCGGAAAACCAAGTGGGACAGACTGACAGACAGACAGAGGGACAGACAGACAGACAGACGGACAGACAGACAGACAGACAGACGGACGGACAGACGGACGGACAGACTCAGAGGAAACCTATAGTCCCCTCCGGTTTCACCGGTAGGGGACTAATAATAATGTAAAATAAATTTCAACAATATGACAAGAAAATTTCGGACTGAATAATTGTAAATCATTTCTATTAGACTTTGTATTAATTGTTACTAAACTTATCTTATATATGACTATATCGGCAAAATAAAACAAATCTTTCTAATTTATGAAAGTCTTAATCCCACCTGAGGCACAGTCAGCGGGGGGAGGGGGGGGCACTATCCACTCAAGAAAAGATCCGATTCAAAAAGAAAAAGAAAAAAAAAAGAAAAGAAAAATATATATTGACTTCTTGAATATAGTCAAGTATTAAATGTAATAGATAAACACTAATAAAATTCAATTCAAGGCATTTACACGTCTTGTGTATCGAAGCAAAACCGGGCGATTTCATATAAATTTTTATATATATCTTTTGAGGCGCTTTTAATAGCGAAAAAAAATCATGCGAGGCAAAGTTCATATTTTTCTATTAGAGTTATGTACCATATTCTTCGATTAATATTTTATTTTAGATTTGATCAGATCAATCATGTTTGAGACTGTAAACCAATAAGAATTATATAAAAGTATACAAATGAATTAAATCAATGGAGTGTTGGGACAAATCTCGCCTATATTTCATTTGATTCATTTATTCAGTTTTTTAATTAGTAACTGAAGTGTACAATTTTTTTATTTTCTTAGTACAGTGTATAAAAACTTTAAGTGTTGTTCATACAAATTATGTACATTATCCAGAAAATGAGTTTGTGCAATATATTGATACCCAGTAGGGTTCAAGGTAAATACTTGACACCAGGTGAGAGAGCAGTTCAGGTATGTTGACGTTGAATACACACGGGCCAAGGTGTCATGTAGGGGGAGGGGGATGGGTCTTGACCTGACAGGGAGACCATGTACTGATTAGACAGGTTCATATAGGTGTCAGTTCTCTTGGTACGGGAGCGCTTCCGTCTGTCAGTTACAGTATATACTCAGTTCATTTCCACGCCGAAATAGGTAAGACGTATACTGATTTTTTTTTTTTTTACATTTTCTAAAGACAGTATTAAGTAAAATGGTTAAACATCTACATTATAATATATATTTATCATAATTATGATGAATTGAATAGAGCATGCTCATGCATTATAAATTGTAATTTATTTTTTAGTTAGACACATCAGAGAAACAAATAAATAGAAAAAAAATAAATAGGAACTACATACTTGCACCTACAGACAAAATTTGTAAATGTTATCAAGATCATGTATTACATTGTATATGCCTTTATGTTGTTATGAATCATTTGGAAACAATCCTTTAAATAATTGATTGTGCATACATTTAGATTAGAGGCAAAAAAATATAACTACATGTATGTTACCAGACGATGCTTTTTAAATATTAATAAAAATGTGCTTCTACTAGTGTTTCAGAAAAATGAATAACTTGTTATTTATTAATTCCATTATTGATAAAAAAGATAGGCCATGTATAGATGCTGATATTTTTTCAATTTATTTATTTTTGCACACATACCTACTGTGTTATGTTTCTATAATTATCAAAAGAAAGTTAATAAAGGTCTACCTTTTGTGACTCTTACTGTTTAAAGAAATTAAAGAAGTACTATTTTTGACAAAAATATTTATTACAAATCGACAATTTGAATTAAAAAAAAAAAAAAAAAAAAAAACCAACAAAAAAAAACGAATGACTAGTTGACCGATTATTTCATGTGCTAAATAGGATTTTACTTCCGATTTACGCTCTCTGCTTGGTCACGGCGGGTACTTGACGTTTTTTTTTTATTATTTATTTTTGTATTTATTAAGTAATTTATTTATTTATTTTCTTAAATTTATATACAAGAGAATCTGATCAGTTATTGATTTCTCTCTCTCTCTGTTCAACAATTAAATAAATCGTAAATAAAATAACAAAACGAAAAATGAACTCGTGATATCTCGGGCGTTTCTTCTCAAGGTAAAGATAAAAAGCGAGGGTTTCCGAATACACACGATAAACGCAAAACACGATACACGATAGAACCTGATAAACGATCTTCACGATAAACGCAAAACCTGATAAACGGAAAACATGACAGAAAACGCAAAACCTGATAAACGGAAAACACGATACGATAGGATACACGCACGATACGACAGGATACACGCACGATACGATAGGATAAACGCACGATAGGACACGATAGAATTGTAAAGAATAACGATGTGGGTACTGTAACTGTTTTGGACGCAGAAGGTGTAATAAGGCGTAGACAACGTCGTCTTCAGCGTAGAAGGTACATTAACGAAGGGCCTAATTTTTGTGTTCATCTAGATGGCTGGGACAAGTTAAAACCATTCGGAATTTCCATTCATGGCTGTGTAGATGGCTTTTCAAGACGTATTCTCTGGCTCAGAGCTTGCAATTCTAACAAAAACCTTGAGTATATATCCAGATTTTATATAGATTATATCAAAGAAATAAACGGGGTTCCTGTAGTCGTATACGCAGACAGGGGTACTGAGAACTCCATAATTCGAGATTTGCAATACGCTTTGCGATGGAATCACCAGGATCCCTTGCAAGGACTATCAAGTTTTAGGTATGGATCGTCCTATAGAAATACAAGAATAGAGAGATTTTGGCGGTGTTTACGAGAAATGTGTGGCAATTTTTGGATAAATTACTTTAAGGATATGGATAATTTAGGTGTTTTTGACACCTCCGACATAGTCCACCTGGAGTGTGCTAGGTATTGTTTCTTACCAATTATCACCAGAGAATTGAACAGAGTTATTCAGCATTGGAATGAACACACAATTAGAAGAAACCGCAATGCAGATTGTCCGTCTGGAAAACCAGATGTTATGTATTTTCATCCCGAAATTTACCAAACAAGAGATTTCAAAATGCCTGTACCTGATAATCTAAATGGCATAGAACAAGAATATTGTGCCTACCCTCCTGCGAATGGTGTTTCAATGGAATTTGAAGTTATTGGTACTCAAATAAGAATGGAAAACGGTTTGAATTACCCACCAAACACTGTAGAAGAAGCAACAGAACTCTTTATCCGAATAACAGACTATGTAGATCGCTTATAAATTACATGTATCTACATACATTTACTTGACTCTTGTTGTTTTAAGGAGGTACATTTTTCTTTATGTCCCGAATATTGTTTGATAAAGGAATGAGAAATTGTATCTTTGCGAGGTTTTGTGTATATAATTGCAAATGTGTATTTCTAGTAAAGTATATCTATTAATAGTACATAATATTAGTAATTCTTTTTTTGAAATCTGCTTTAACCGTCAAGGTCAAAAATCATAATGAATTCAAAAAATTGTTATGAGTACTGTTGAGTGTTGAAGTAAGAGTACAAAAGCGTATTTTCCTGTGGAATAAAGAATGCATTTGGTCAGCATTTTTTTTTTAGATAACTAGGTCAAACTTTTAATTTACATACATTTACTTGACTCTTGTTGTTCTAAGGAGGTACATTTTTCTATATGTTCCGAATATTGTTTGATAAAGGAATGAGAAATTGTATCTTTGCGAGGTTTTGTGTATTTAATTGCAAATGTGTATTTCTAGTAAAGTATATCTATTAATAGTACATAATATTAGTAATTCTTTTTTTGAAATCTGCTTTAACCGTCAAGGTAAAAAATCATAATGAATTCAAAAAATTGTTATGAGTACTGTTGAGTGTTGAAGTAAGAGTACAAAAGCGTATTTTCCTATGGAATAAAGAATGCATTTGGTCAGCATTTTTTTTTAGATAACTAGGTCAAACTTTTAATTTACATACATTTACTTGACTCTTGTTGTTCTAAGGAGGTACATTTTTCTTTATGTTCCGAATATTGTTTGATAAAGGAATGAGAAATTGTATCTTTGCGAGGTTTTGTGTATTTAATTGTAAATGTGTATTTCTGGTAAAGTATATCTATTAATAGTACATAATATTAGTAATTCTTTTTTTGAAATCTGCTTTAACCGTCAAGGTCAAAAATCATAAAAATTCAAAAAATTGTTATGAGTACTGTTGAGTGTTGAAGTAAGAGTACAAAAGCGTTTTTTCCTATGGAATAAAGAATGCATTTGGTCAGCTTTTTTTTTTTAGATAACTAGGTCAAACTTTTAATTCAAGGTAAAAAATTAAAAAGAATTGTTCCTTTTTAATGAAGTTGTCATAAATAATGCACCTGTAAATAATAAAGCTCTAGATCTATTCTCCCTCATTCAGAACATACCTACTTGACATTAAAAAGGACATTGTTACGATTTTGGTCACATTTTATATTACCATTTTTATTGTTTAAAATATTGAATTAGTTAACTGCACTTCATACCTTTTATTCTTAAACTGTTTCATGTAGAACTTCACTGAATTCATGAATCATTGAGATGTCTACCATCACATAGGGCCCCACTCAAATAATGGAAAATAGGATGAAAAACATTTCAGAGAATTTGCTTTGACCTTGACCTATAACTTAGACATTGTCCAGTTGGCATAAAACTTTTATTTCAGTCTCATTACCCCTTACCAAAAGCCATTTATTTTTGGTTCTGAACAAGATTAAGCAAGTGAAAAATATTATTCAAGGTCACTGCACATCCTTTGACCACAGACACTCTGTGGAAGTATGAACCAGACTGGACCAAGGGGAGAAAAGATGTGCTCCGGACAATGATTTTTCATATACAATTCTGCTATGACCTTAACCTTAGACCTTGAAACATAGTTCATAGTTCAAGGTCAATGCACACCCTTTAAAAGAGATCTCGGGCGGACAGATGGACACACTAATTCCTATAGGTCGCCGCAGAGAGAGGCCCTTAAAACGTTTTATTGTCAATGGTCACGTTTCTGAATCGCCAGGACATTTTATCAAAGGAAATGCAATTTATACTTTGTTGTCCACCTCATATTATAGAAAATAATTTAAACTGCAATATCTGGTTGAACAACTTCAATTTTACCGACAGAAAAAAAAACCCAGGACCGTGCCTCATTGCACATGTCCTGGGTAGTAACGAATCTGCACGCACGCACAAATGTTCATAGTTGTGTATCACATAATTTCTTTTGCATTTAAATTTAATCGTTTAATTCAAAATCTTATCATTTTGAAAATCGAGCATATTTAAAAAAGTATATATCCCAAATGAAATCACAAATCGATCATATTCACTGAAAACTTTGTCGCCATTCCTGGGTCTTCGGGCACTTACATGGATTTGTGATTTTTTGGATATTTACTATTTCAAAATTATATATATATATATATATATATATATATATATATATATATATATATATATATATATATATATATCCGCTACTGCTTCAATGCGGTCGACAACATTTTTACGGTTTGGAAGCATAACTGATTTTAAAAAAACCGAACACGGGTTGTTAAGATTTCTTAAAAAAAAAATAAATGTTGCTGAACTTTGATAAATCACAAGACTAACTGAAATGAAATACAAAAAAAAAGAAAAGAAAAAAAAAAGAAAAAGAAAAAAAAACTTCAACTTTTGTGGTTTTTTTTTTTTTTTTTTTTTTTTTTTTTTATGTACAATTCTCTAATTGAACTATTGCAACTAAATAAAAAAAACGTGGCAATATGGGGGGGGGGGGGGATTAAAATCGATGACAATAAAACATACCAGATCACTTAAATAAAATATCAAAAAACTTGCGTTAAGAGTCTTAATAAAGTTCCAAATATTTCTTTTCAATTTGAAATTAGCAAATGTAACGCAGATGAGTCAGTTGGTACATTAAAACACCCTGTTATTTTTCTTTGATAAAGCAAGTTGTTTTTTAATACCCGCTTTACATTGAACTCACCAGGTTTTAATTTAGATATCATATATGGGGAAAAATGAATTTATTAATAATATTCAATTTGAATAAAACTGAAAAAGGTAATGTTTTAGAGAAATGTGGCAAATTTGGATGCTATTGAAAATGATCTTCAAGTGTCTTGATAAAAAAAAAATCAACTACCGGATGCTAATATATTTTGAGGTAAACAATCAAACAAAATGCACATTGAAAATGATATATAAACCATGGTGATTAAGATAATGTACACAAGTTGTCTAAAAATAAGTCCTCTCGGGAGCACAATGTATACGTAAGCATGTGGAGTGAAGAGGGTATAACAAAATTCAGAAAATAACAACCATGCATATTAAAACTTCAGAGTTGTTCAGATACACGCAAGTATTTTCACAATGCATGTGTAAATGGTACAAAAACCGTGTATCGGCACCAAACTAAAGCAACATAATAAAGTAATTGAAAATCATAAAAAATGTAGCTTAACTGTTTAAGCTATATGGGCCATTGTAGACTGCTAGGTTGCAGTCACTTTAACTATTAACAATGATCATGAGCCCTGCTTAACCCGCATAGCATGTTAACATAACTCAGTTGCATGTTGACATAAATAAGTTGCATGTCAACATATTTATCTCCCATGTCAACATAAATAAGTAGCATGTTATCATAACTAAATTACATGTTGACTTAAATATGTTGCATGTCAACATAACTAAGTTGCATGTCAACATATTTATCTCGCATGCCAACATAACTAAGTTGCATGTTGACATAAATAAGTTGCATGTCGACATAACTAAGTTGCATGTTGACATAAATAAGTTGCATGTTGACATAAATAAGTAGCATGTTAACATATCTAAGTTGCATGTTGACATAAATAACTTGCATGCCAACATATTTATCTCGCATGTTAACATAAATAACTTGCATGTTGACATAAATAAGTAGCATCTTGCATGTTGGATGTCACATGTGGGCTATATTTGAGATTTTTTAAAGATCTTTTATAATTCTTATTTGAATGCAATTTTCTTGCATGTCAACATATTTATGTTGCATGTTGACATAACTATCTTGCATGTCAACATATTTATCTTGCATGTCGACATATTTAATAGAAAAATAACTTGCACACAAGGGGCAGAAATATGCCACCATAAAAATGGCCCAAACCATATATAGTTCTTTATATATTTGACGCACTAGTAGCAGATGCATTTTATGTATAAAAATCTCAGATAGGCAAGCTTGTGCTCTACACAGGCAAAAGTGACTCGCATAAATTTTATATGAAATTCGCATGAATTTCGTGTAAATTCTTCGCATGAAAAAGAGACGAAAAACGAATCACATGAAATTTATGCGAAAACTTTATGTGATTTTGACATAATTTTCATATGAATTTCATACGATTTAAAATTCGCACGATATTCATGCGAAAAATTTTTATGCACATATTCTTTGGATGATTTTGTGATTAATTTCATTTCATTTCACTTGAGATTCTCGCTTAAGATAGACAATTATTTTTTCTAATGGTATTAAATTTATATCCTGTGTTTCTCTTCATTGCAATAATTGTGGCTCTTTTCGATCTTCTTTATTTGAAGCTTCAATTTTTTTAAACAATTCTCTGTTCCAGTGCAACCCATCGTTCTGGAGACTGTGTCATCTGCAAAATAAAAAATAAATTATTAAGTTGCTTACTGCATGAGAATTGTGTATTAATTATGCTACTTCAATTGCTGTATCATACAACATGTAGTGGTATGTATATTTAAAGTTCCTACATAATTTTGTATATTTACATTTCCAAATATATTTCCTTGAGATTCTTTGCAAATTAGAAGACCGTTCATTTTCTCATGAACTACCATGGATGAGCATGAATACAGTATCTTCCTTGTTATGTCATAATACCATATTAAATTATAAAAGACAGACAGAAGGACGGAAGATGGACATGACAAACACTATAGGCCCCGGCCATATTCATGAAGGGGCATAAAAATGAAAGTTAAATGGCGTAATTTGTGGCAACGCAACAGAAAAATAATGTAAATATAAGAAATGAATTCATTTTTTGAAAATTCATGAGGTATATGGACAACAACGCTTCACACTGGCATATTCATGAGAAAGCGTTAACGCACTTCATGGAATATGCCGACATGCAACGTCGTAGTTCATGTCCTCATGAATCTTCAAAAATTAAAATCAGATCTTACATAAATGTGGCCATGAACTTGCCAAAATGTTTTCGGTTAAAAAAATTATACATT